TTTTTAAAACATTTCGACGTAGTAATATTATTCACACGACGCAAAATATAACAGAAGACGTAATAAGAATTATCATGGCAATACACAGTTTAATAAAAATTTAATAAAAACGACATATTATAACATTTCACACGACGCAATAACATAGCAATCGACATCATCATACATTAATCACTTAACTACCGACGTGGTTAGAAGTTTCAAACGACGCAAGAAATAAACCACCGACGTTTTATGCTATAATTACAAAAAAAACTTAGTAGTGATTCCAGATTTGACCTTTAACGAAGTTTTTTAAAACATTTCGACGTAGTAATATCATTCACACGACGCAAAAATATAACATAAGACGTAATAAGAATTATCAGGGCAATACACAGTTTAATAAAAATTTAAAACAAAGTGAGTAGGCTTACAATTAATTTTGCTTTCTCTGCCGCCTTTGGATCCGGGATGTTACCATGTTTGTCTTGTCTAGCTTTCTTCCATAAGGTAGATCGATCAATTTCTACCCCGGGCATGGTTTCCTCCAATTGATCCTCCAAACCAGAATATCCTTTTCGAGACAATCGATGATTGTACTCAAGTTTCTCCCTCCTCTGTGATTGTTCAAAATGCACAGACACAAATTGTTCGGATAACCTTGAAGCTACAAAGGCATCCCATTCTGCTTTCTCTATGAATTTATATAGTTCAGGGGGTTGGCTTAATTTCTCCTTCTCCTTGATGAATGGAAGTATATGATGCCTCATTAGTGTAGACTTGAAATCCTTCCATTTCTTGGCAGCAAAAGATAACACCAGTTTCTTGCCCCCTTCACCTACCACAAAAGCCATGTCAACGGCTTCCCAAATCTGCTCTTTTATATCCTTGGGGATTTCAGCCCATTTCTTGTCCACAAGTGGGACTCTGGAGCGTGCCAACACACCAATGTAGGACTGCATCTCAGTATGTGCATGGCCACATGCTTTCCCCTTTTTATTGTACTAAACAACTGGCTTGATTTTCTGATATTTTCTCTTCACAACACGAGGCATTGTGCTTATACCTCGACCTCACTTTGGCTCCTCAGAATATGTTGTCGTGCTGCCTAGTTTTGTCTCAGCAGATGAAACAAACTTCATCTTCTTCAAGGACTTGTCTTGAGGATTTACCAATCTAAGCTCCTTACCTCCATTTTTTTTCGAGCCAGAGTCCTTACTTTGGTCTTGAGAAACCATGGTTACAGACAAATCAAACCTGCAAGTGAAAATATTTCAGGAAAAAATTAAGAAAACAAACGACGGTTATTTATAAAACACGACGTATGATAACATTTCACACGACGCAATAACATAACATCAGACGTAAGAAAACTTTAAAACGATGGTACTTAAACAACGACGTGGTTAATACATTAAAATGACGTCAATATTAAACCACCGACGTCTTATAATATAATTACAAAAAAACAGAGAAGTGATTCTATTCACACGACGTAAAAATATAACAGAAGACGTAATAAGACTTTATTACGGCGATATTTATATTCCGTCGTGATATTGAAATTCAAACGACGTTAATATTAATATACCGTCGTGGTATGAAAATTCACACGACGTGAATAATAAGATACCGTCGTCTATATAAGATGGAAAACAAAAACAGTGAAGTTGTTCCAAACCCTTCTTTCTTTGTCTTTGTATTTTATCAAATTAGGAAAAACAAAAACCATGGTTCAGAGAAATCAAACCTGCAATGAATATATTTTAGACAATCAAATAAAAAAACGACGGTCATTTTAAAAACAACTTAGAACAACTTTCAGACGACGCTATGACGACTGACGAACCGTCGTGGTCTATAAATCTAACCACGTAAATAAGAAGCTACCGTCGTCTTATTTAGTTGAAGTAGAAGAAACAGAGTTGTGTTCAAAGTTGGAAACTTTCCCTCTTTGTCTGTATATTTTATCAAACTTGGAAAGAATTAAAATGATTTTGGCCAGAAAAAAGGTAAAATGATTTTCAAAACAAAAACCGTATGAGCATGCAAAACAGCAACAAAAATAGTGAGAAATGCTTACCTTTTGCATGCAATGAAAGCTTTCTCTCGGAGTTTGGTGTTTAAGTTCAGAGACGACGACGAAGACGAGAGGAAGACAATCAGATACATCGACAGTGCTTTGAGAAGGAAGAAAGACGAAAAGTACTTTTCTCTCGGAACTTCAAATTTTTTCTCGGGTTTGGAAACAGTGCAAGTGTAAGTCAGGTAGATGAAAAGTTGAATATATTCACATACCGTTTCATAAAACGACGCGATTAATAGAAAGCGCCCTAGTATTATATATTAGACGTCGGTATATGTTTCCACCGCCCTAGTAAATTTTTTTAACGACCCTTAGTTTTCATAAAACGCCGTGTTTATATATAATTCCACAACGATATTTTCTTCAAAAAGATGTAACCCGTCATTTTCAAATTTACACAGCGACCTTATACTCAATAATAACGACGTGAAATATCTATAGAACGTCGTTTGAATTACTCATACCGACGTGTAAAATTTTTAATTACACAAGAAATTAGTTTTTCAAAAAATGACAACGTCGTTTTTTATATACCGTCATTGTTAATTAAATATATACGACCTCAGTTTATTTTGAAACGACGTTTATAGTTCATTTAGACGGCGCTAATTTTAATATAAATGACGTGGTTTTGAATACTTTTGATTTAAATTGGATCTTTTCTTTTGTTCTTTAATGTTGGGTTTTTCATATAGCGTCGTGGTTAATGATGTTTATACGACCTCACTTTATTGTTAACCGACGTCTATGTTTAAGTTATATACTTTGTTGATTTATATTTTCTGATCAGTAGAGATTTGCCTTTTAAATATTGCTCCTATTAAATATTGATCTGTGGCTGTGCAGGAGCTTGAGAACAAGAGGAAGGAGAGGGCCCAGCTTGCATATGAGAGGAAGAAACAGTTGAACAAGCTGAGGCAGAAAAGATTTGCCTTTTAAATATTAATCAGTAGAGATTTGCCTTTTAAGACGAAAATGTTGTTTTGTGTTAATATACTTGGTTGTTCCTTGTGATGGTTTTAAGTATTTTGGCAGTAGTTCTTTCTGATAGATATTAAGAAAGATATTACCAAAATAAAGGAAAAATTAATTAATTTTAAAAAGCTTTATAAAAATAAGACGGCGGTTTACAGAGAAGGCAGACGTATAAATAGAAAACATACGACGGTAATTTGAACTTAGGACGTGGTAAATAAATACGACAGTAGTGTTGTAGGTACCGTCGTAGTACACTCCAAAATAATAAGTCGATAAATTAATCTATCGTGTCATGGTACATAGATTTCACACGTCGTTTTTTTGTAACATACCGACGTGGATTTCATTATAATATACGACGTGGATTCCATTAAAGAATAACCGACGTGGATGTTTGCAATTAGACGGCGGTATGTGTGTAAGGACCGCCGTGGGTTTTAAAGATTTATTGTATAAATTTGACGCTTTCTTTCAGTTTCAGTTTTCATTTAGGGTTCCAAGTTCTTCTGGAGGCTCGTCTTCCTCTCTCACAGACACACATGCATATCATCACTCTCTCTCACATCTCAAAGACAATAATTTGGATGTTAATGATGTATGCGTTTTGGTGTATCTCAAAGACACCAAAACGCACACATCATTAACTTTCAAAACATTGTCTTTCTCAAAGTTTGCCGTGATCAGTTCAGTTCTGGTTTCTTTTTGGATTTTGTGTATTTAAAATATTGTCTTTCTCACTTTGGTGGTTCAATTATGATCAGGATCCAAAGATCTCAATGGTAAGATATCATACCTCTTGGGATCTCATTTTAATTTTCGTAGGCCACCAACATTAAAAAATAAATAAAAATTAAGACGTCGGTTTACAGAGAAGGCACCGTCGTAGTACACTCCCAAAATAATAAGTCGATAAATTTATCTTTCGCGTCATGGTACATTGATTTAAAACGTCGTTTTTTTGTAATATACCGACGTGGATAATATGTATTATACGGCGCTGTATAATAACAGTTGGTCGTGTTTAGTTAGGAGTTAACATGGCAGGTTTTTTGGTGAACAGTCGTCTTTATTTTCTATGTCGGTGGTTTCATACCTGCTGTCATTCTTTTTTGGTTATATTTTAACTCTGAAAAATACCTTTTTAATAAGACGACGCTTTTTTATTTTTGTGCGTCGTTATAAAAAAATATTCAACAGTACCTCCATTTTTTAGTTGTTTAAGTCACTTATCCATGACGGTGTTTTGTTACCGTCGTCTTTTTAAAAACAACGACAATTTTTTGTTCTACCGTCGTCTTTTTTTGGTCGTCTTTTTCACTTTTTGTAGTAGTGCCCAACCTCATGACGTGCCGACCTTAGCCTCAAATTGGCGAAGATCTGTCCTCGAGACTCGTCAACCTCAATTGAGCTTCCTGCACCAATGCCATCATGATACATGGCGTCTATACCATTAGTCCATTTACACATCAAGTTATATTTCTCCTTTGCACAACAAATTATTATTTTCTTCGCTACTGCCCAAGTCCTTTTGCCACACTTGTTTTTTTTAAGGAGATTTGGGGACTCTTCATGGTTCTGATCTATAAGTTACTACAAAATTTATGATATGATTTAATATTGCCAACTTGGCCAAATTATTAAAATGCAACTCCCCATACATAACTCTTGTTTGGGGACTTGGGGGACTTATGTTTGTGAGGTAAAATACATCTAGGCCGAGCTCGGCTAAAGCGCGACGACAAAGTTGAGTTTAGGCCCATATGGTCAGGATTAAAGCACGATGATAGAGTTGAGTTGAGAACCCTTGGCATAACCCTAAAACTACATCTCTGTATAAAGAACAATTAATGCATTAAAACCAACTCATTCACTCAAAAATAACATTAGAAGGCTGGAGGAGGGGAGGGGAGAGATGCAAAGGGTTCTCCTACTCAACTATATCTTCATAATTGAAGAACAATTAAAATCTCAGGTTTTCATTACAGTACCCCAAAACACTTACATAGTGAATACAAACAAGCTTCTTAGAAGTGATGACAACATTACGAAAGTAATATACAATTATTTCATTTCTAAATAAAAAATAAAAAATTTATTTCATTCACCATCAGGAATTTACATCCACCGTTTCACTTTCTTGTCAAATATTCCTCCTCCATATGTAGAAATGAAAATCTCTTTGAGAAGGCGAAATTGCATCCCAATAAATAAGGCAACTGGAATGATGGCGAGGAAAATGATTGGGATAACAATCTGTAATCTGTCATGAAGCATAAGGAAAAGGCCAGAACAAAAGGCAACCATCATGGTAGCGATGGAGGTCAAGAGCGTTGAAAGGCCTATTATCATCTTTGTGGGTAAGGATTTGAGGAAATCATCTTCCGCATAACGTGATGTAAGGATTCCCAAAAACATTAGCACTGAAGTTACGGAAGAAAAGAGAGATATAGCATCTGAAACTATGAAAACCATAAACATCTTTTTATGTAAGAATATGGGAAAGCCTTCTCCGTCGTTTCCACCAGGAACTGTGAAGGCTGCAGCAAACATGATGGTAATAGTGAGAGCACCTACAACTGTACAAGAAGTTGCTGTATCTTTCATCCACTTTTCTCCTTCTTCCTTCAATGTCTTGTGGTTCTGGGTAAATAGTTCATGGGGCCCCTTACCCTCTTTATTGAAAGCTCCCACTCCCGAGGGTAAAACTACAATACTCTTAACCTCCTGCATTTCATTAAACAAAATCTAAAGTTCGTTGTGGCTACCAGGTAAATTAATTATAGAATCACTGCTTTTATGGAATGCAACATAATACAAGGAAGAAATACAAGAAGCATTGCTGACCACAATGTAATAAAAATTGTTTGATGCCAAACTGCATATGGTACCAAACTGAAATGAATCCTAAAATATTTGAAAGCTTAAATAGGTCCTTCCTTGTTCACTACTTTCCGAAATTGATAGAAGGGAGGTTGCTTTGCAATGGGTAGTGTTTGGATAATGGGGAACTTGGAAGTGCAAAATTTTAATTCTCTTTTCTTTTAAGATTTGATGACGAATCCTTGATTTGGAACTTTCTCTTATGCCAATACTCTGAGTTAAAGAGGCTAAGGGTTCTATCCTATCTTTGGTGAATCCATAGCCTGTGGTATGTAGCGCAGTGGAGGTTGTGGAAATCGACGGGGGAATTAAAATCGATTTTGGTGGTGGTGGGTATGGTTGCAATGTGCGGCAGAGTGTGGGCTTGGTTTAAGGCTGCTTGTGGGTTTGGTTGTTTTGTTTGTAGCTCAAGCGCGGGGGCTAAGGCAGAAGCTACCCGAGATGGACTACAGATTTATGTGCAGGAGATGCGTATTAAAACTGATTCAAAGGTAATGGTTGACATAATTATTGAATGAGAAAAATTGAGGGCTTCTTAGATATAGGTCCATTTTCATCGAGATATAATGGATGCAGTCAACATGCTCTCTTTTCAATTGCAGTCTAATCTCACCAACTAAGCAATTAGTATGTCCATAATTTTTAAACAATTTACAGGATATGCCACTATCATAAATGGAATTATATGAAAACACTTTCCTAAAATTCAATGTTTCCTTATATATATGTGTATGCATTTCCTTATATATATAATGCATTTTCCTTGTATATATATGTACCTGCCTTACAGGTAAGTGTTTTTTTCTTGAGTTTTCTTAAGCAGTTTTTTCTGGAGCTTCATATTTATATACATACGTACATGTCTTCCATGTAATAGTGTTTTTTTTTTGTTTTTCCAAAGAAATTTTGTATGGATTTTTATCTTAGTTGAGTTTAAAGATCCATACCAAGATATTATATGAGTTCAATTACCTGGGCTAAAGGATATAACTACCTAGACTAGAGGTAATTTATGGATTTAATTACCTGGACCAGAGGTAATTTATGGGTTTAATTACCTGCATACTACATAAGAGGTGTATGCATAGGTACCTTACCTATTGTTAAGGTATGAAGTTTTTATGAACTCTTATTACAAATTTTGATGTCGATATACCTTGGGAAAATTTCAAAATTCAATATATAGATTTGCAATTAAATTCAAATCAAATATGATAATTACCATGTTAAAGGACTTGCAATTAAATTAAATTAAAAATAATAAATAAATAAAAGTAAATATCAATAAATTGAAAAATGCATAAAATCTTATGTGGCGCAAAAGTCAAAGGACTTGGATCAACAACAATTTCTGCGTGGATTGCACCCAAAATCTCTCCTCATAATTGGACTTATGCCAAATTTTCTAAAAGATTTATCTCCTCAAATATAACAACCATCTTATCTGGGCATTTCTATTTCTAAAAGCAATACAGTTTTTTTTTTTTTTTTTTATAAATATTTTGAAAATTGGTTTCAACCATTCATGAAAAATAATTCTAAAAGAGATTTAAAAAAAACAAATTTATTTGGCACCAAATATAGAAAACAAGAGTGAAGGAAGAAGAAGATTTCAAAGATAAGCAAAAAATCTTGCTCATATCTACATGTCTGGGGGAAACTTTAGAGCTTTTGAAGTTACTACTCTATTTGTATACGTTTCTTCGACAACATATACCAACCCATAACCGCATTTATAAGCTGCCGCTCGAGCACCTAATATCCCACAACTAGCTCTAAATACAATGGATATACAAGAAAAGATATAGAATGAGGATATCTAACCTTGAACCATTGTCTTTCTCTCTGCATTTGCAAGGCTGCACCTGAAATACAATCAAGTTTTTCCGTTGGAGATAGCATCCCTGCAAGATGTAGCATATCATTTCCAAAAGCGTCTGAAAATGTTGTAATTAGATTTCTTTGACCAACCCCATATATAAGGCTATAAACTTTTTCCTGGCGACACTCAATTGAATAGTGAAATATGTTCCTTCCCATTAAATTGCTTCGCCACAATACATCTGGATCTACTTTACATAAACGAATAACGAACTCAGTAATCCCTCTTCGGACAGCTTGGAATACTGCTTCATAAACAAGGCCATCTTCCCTTTCTTTGATATCTACACGTTCTACTTCTCTTAACATGTATTTCAAAATAGATTGCCAGCGATGATGGATCCATTTCATTTCACGTATGTGGTTGATCCCTAGGTTGATGTCGAAGAAAATATTACAACCACTTTTTATAGAAATAAAATAAGTTGACAATTTATAAAGTTGATAAATAAAAATCAATGTGCAAAGACACCAACATATAAATATGGAAATGAATGTTGCATACCTAAAAGGTTGTGGAGGGTAGAAGGAATCCCCTGCAATAAACCTAAGAGTGCAATGCAGATCAAAAATCACAAGAAAAGCGAGAAAAAGAGAAGTGCGATCTACGAAAGAGCTAAGCTAAGCTATTACATTTCTTTTGCCTCCGTTTTTCTCCCCAGTTTGACTCGATTTATCGGTTCTACAGTTCCGATGCACACCCCTAAGTCAATCCCATTTTTTTTATCATTGTTTGAGTAAAATTTAAGCTTTCATTAATTCAAAGCGGACAAAACATATCCTGTGAAAGAAGAGGAATCACCCAACTCGATGCGTCCTCAACCCAAGAGATGAAATATGTACAATTTAGTGCATACTTTTCAATGGAATGAGCTACTTGGTGATAAGAACTGTAGGGTTTGAATATTTGGATGATTGTATTTTTCGCTTTATAAGGATTTACATAAGTGCTTTATAAGGAAATAGATACAATAAAAAAAAAAAAAGGAATATATGCTTATGATACGGGGATATGTCAACTAAATTAAATAGGAAATAAATCACCTAGTTAACTCACGTCAACACTCCTCCTTACGTTGGTGCATATGCTCAACTTTGTAATTGGGTTATGAAATACTTGTTCAGAAACAGTTTTTGTCAAGACATCTGCTAACTACTCTTCTGATTTAAGAAAATGCATGCAAATAATCTTGTTCTTAATCTTCTCTTTGATGAAGAATCTGTTGGCCTCAACATATTTTGTCCAATCATGTTGAACTGGATTATGAGCAATATCAATTGCAGAGTTATTATCACAATTAACTAGACATCGTAAGTTTTATGTACATACAAAGATCTTCGAAAACGGACAAGTGTACAATTTTCGGTGATTAAGTTGGTTCTTTGACGCTCATTTCATACTTTCAATTTCAAATATCATTTTTCTGATTGGTAGAAGACCTAGGGTTTGAATCTTGGTGAATCATGACAATAAGTCTTCATCTCAACAAAAAAAAAAAAAAGACAATAAGTCATTTTCGGCTATGGAGATAGAGATTTTGAAACTACAAAACCTAATGACCTAGGTGACTTGGGGATGAAGAATGTGATTAGTGTGAATATAGCTGTTTATGAACATATATATGCTTCCAAAATCACAATATGTTGGCACAAAGTTTTAATTCGTCGATTAGATTATATATGAATAGTAAAAGAAAGAAAGAAAAAATTATATACACTTGTTTACCATTCTTTTGTTCTTCATTTGTTATGTTAGACTTGGAAACCCTCATTAAATATTTTGTGTTAAATATTTTACGCATCATGTCAAACTATTATTTTATGCACAACCATGAATATGAAACCACAGGTCGAGCCTTTACCATAAGATGAACATGCCATGTTCACACGAGAGTATTATATGTGCGAGGTGCAAAGCATGAATGTGCTTTGCTATATATTTTATTTATATTTATTTTTTTAATATCACAACGTCTTATTGATTATTATTTTTTATACATGCTGCTTATCTTGTAACAATTTGATTATGTTTTTCTCAAAAAAAAAGTTATTGTTTATGAGCATACTAGAACAATTTTCTTTCACCAAACTATGTCATGATGAACTTCTTATTAAACAGATGCATTATTGCAAAAGTCTGAAAAAATGACAAGAATATATATACAGAAAATGATTGCATTTGATTAAACCAAAGCTGGGGTTTCGAGATCTAGCAAACCTGAGAAACTGATATTACTTTGGTTACCCAGTTCATTTTCTGGATTTTGAACATTTTCACTAACATCAGGGATTGCAGGAGGTTGTATGTGTATACCTATCAAGAAAAGACAACAAGCTTAGTCAATAAATTTTATTTTTTTGAGTAAAACTGAAACTTTCATTAATTCAAAGAGAAGAAAAGATATCATGTGACAGAAGAGGAATCACCCTCGGTGCCTCCTCAACCCAAGAGATGAAATTTGTACACTTTAGTGCATACTTTGCAATGGAATGAGCTACTTGGTGCTAAGAACTGTAGGGTTTGACTATTTGGATGATTGTATTATTCAACATGAGAAGGAATATATAAGGATATGTCAACTAAACTAATTTAGGAAATAAATCTCCTTGATTTCTGGACAATGCTTGGCTCCTGATATATCAGGAGCCATTCCTCCTCCATACAAGATGTGGCTTTCTAAAAAAATGACACCTGTTTTTTTTTTTTCTTTTTTCTTTTTTTTTTCCTTTTCTCACAGACTCTCTTTCTCTCTTCTCTCCATCTCTTTCTTCCACCATTCCCAAAATTTCCAAAACTCCCCAATAAATAACTCAATAAAATTAAAAAGGAGAGAAATCAATACATAGTGTTTGGGTGATGATGATGGAGGAGCAGCGATGGGAAGAGAAAGGGGCTGAAAATTTCTTCTAAAGAGTTGCAGGGGAAGAGACAGAGATGGGGAGAAGAGAGAAGAGAGAGCTGGGGGAGGAGAGGAGAGTGGGTGAGAAGAGAGAGAGGTAGAATCGGTGAAAAAAAAAAGAACAAAAAAGAAACATGGGAAGAGAAGAGAGAGCTGGGGCGAGTGGGTGAGACAAAAAAAAAAGGAAAAAAAAAGAGACATGGGAAGAGACAAAAAAAAAAGGAAAAAAAAAGAGACATGGGAAGAGACAGAGATGGGGAGATGAGAGAAGAAGAGAGAGCTTGGGGAGGAAAGGAGAGTGGGTGAGAAGAGAGAGGGAGGGTCAGTTAAATAAAAAAATAAAAAAAAAAACACAGGTGTCATTTTTTTAAAAGGCCACATCTTGTATGAGGAGGAATGGCTCCTGATATGTCAGGAGCCAAGCATTGTCCTTTCCGTAAACTAATTTAGGAAATAAATCTCCTTGATTGTATTATTCAAAATGGAATTTAATTTTACTGTAGCTACAGTACACTGGTTATAGTACCGGCCTCCTATATCTTCTCCCTCGTGAGAGAAACCAGATTTTTCTGGCTCTCTCTCTCCACAGCGCACACTCAATTTCAATTGGCGATTTGGTCACCGTCCGGTATCCAATTCAAATGAAATTGGTTGTAAAAGTTTCATATCGATGCCCCCTACCTAACCCAGCCCATTTTCCAGCTCAAAAACCCAAGAATTCGTGGCTGGAACCACTAGAAGTGTCGATGGTTTTCGAAGTTTCCGACTCCGTTTCCGTTGACTTCGACCACCGTTTTCGTCGAGTAAGGTATGAAACTTCATCTACTCTTCGTGCTCTATCCATTTATGTTGGTATTGTAGATCGATTTTGAAGTTTTACAGATCGTTCAATATACCCATATTATACCAACGGTTTTGGCTTCGTTCCGGCTAGTTCCGGTTAGTGTTTGACCATGGTCCAAGAATAAAAATGACTCCCCTTGTTAGTCCGAATGTATTGGTATAGGTATTATAGGGTGTTTCGGGAATTTTCCAATCGTCGGAATTTACTCTGGGCACCCACGCGCTGCCCGCGCATGTGGCAGCATGTGGGCATTGTTTGATTGCCCGATTTGGTCCTAAAATAATTCTCATGTCATCCCGAGTATGACTATGCTCAAATTTGAATTTGGTTACCGTTTGATTGTCGATCGGATTACGCTTATTAGGCGTTATCCAGGTTTGATATGTTCGGACCGTTGGAGCGATTCCATTTTCAAATATGTTGATTTAGGGACCTCTAGGATCGTGTAGGAATTCACGGATCGTGAATCGGAGTCCCAGATGCTTCGATTCAATAACTTAAAGTTTGCGAAAAATGTTGACCGTCCGATCGTGCGATCGTGAGCAATCCAACCGCTCGATCTAGACCAAACTTGTAAGATGTTGAACCCGTAGGAACTTTCAGATCGGAAATCAGAGGTCGTGGGCCCTTCTGGCCCAGTTGACCAAGTTTGGGCAATTTGGCCCCTCAGTTGATCGTGAATCTTCCGAGGTATTTTCCTCCCTCAAGAAGTACTAGAACGACCTTATAAATGAGTAATGACCGTTATTTGAGTTATTTCGATTATGTTGGGATTATGAGATTGTTTTATAGTATCTTATGGAATTGTTGAGATATTATTTTGATAATTGAAATTATGGAATAGATGAGCATGGGATACTTGATTGGTGGGTTGTGAAAGTGAGCCTTGGGTCTCGGCTATAATTATTAGGAAATGAGTGGACGTTTGTTTTTAAGTGTACTTCGTTCTTCTAGTATGGAATTTCTTGCATAAGTGAGTTTTGATTACAAATTCATTTAATTTGGGTGAATGAGGATATGGGATCTCTAAGGGTTATTATTTATCATTAATTAATATTATTATGATTATTATTAAAGTATACGGATTGGGTGATATCAAGCTATTTACGAAAGTCTATTATTTTAATTGTGAAATATAGTATCTTATGGAAATTAACTGTAAAAAAGTTATGATTACTATTTGAATTATTTTTGGGTCTTTATGGAATATATGTTTGAGAGTTTATTTCCTATACTATGGATAAATATTTCGGAATATTGAATCAAGGAAGGGAATATTATTTTATAATATTTAAAAAAGGGTTATAAACCTCACCATCATATGTACCCTCCCTAGTCACTATACCCACACGTGGGGTTGAACTTTCCGGCGTGCGGGTTTCCTTGGTTACTGATTCTGAAATTGATGGATACTTGGAGATTGTGTGGTATGGATACGTCGTAACCCAGGCACCCTTGACGGACTGTTACCATAGACCCTTAGCGGGGTAGTCTGCGCGCGTAGGACTTGTCACAGACACACAAGTATTGAGGATTCTGCTGTGCGTGCTGGTAGCCCATTCCCCTAGTTGGACGGCTTGTCCCTGGCCACATGGTTGTTAAGGAGTCCTCCGTGTGGTTCAGCCAAACGATTCCCGCGATGAATTGTTTTCCCCGGTACATGATGTGTACTATCATATGTACCTCCCATTGAATACTAATACTTGGGAACAGTGGGCATGGATACTTGGATACATAGAAATGGATAGCTGGTTAGTCTGCGCACATAGGACTTGTCACAGACGCACGAGTATTGAGGATTCTACTGTGAGTGCTGGTTAGCCTAGAACCTCGGTTGGACGGCTCATCCCAGGCCATATGGTTGTTGAGGATTCTTCCATGTGGTCTGGTCAAAATATCCCTGGATTGGATTCTTTTCCCCCGGTACATTATGATGGTAAGAGGTGAGTGTTTATATATATATATATATATATATGTGTGTGTGGATTCGTTCCGGGTTGAGACTCTTGAGATTGTGCTTCGTGAGTACTCTGCACAGGTATGAATGTTTAAGTCATGGATTGGAAAGTGTTGTTCGGCAACATACGCCTTGGATAGGATATGGTTGTGGGGATGAACTGACATAAGGGAAGGAATTTATAATGTGTTAAGTGTGTTTTGTCGGATTTGAAGTTGTAGATGAATCTAAAATTAATCATTCGTTTTACTTTAAATAATCGTATATCATCTGAAATCGTGATTGTCGACATAAGAACTAGATGTGGCTTGATCCCTCACAAAAGGGTACGTAGGTAGCCTGGGTGCAGCGAAAAAATAAACTGTTTGAACTGTGCTTGCATTGTCCTAAGAGTAGATTTGAATTTTGGAAGGAGAAAGAAATTCTCAGATTTCTGTTACGATATTTGTTATGGTTGTACAGTTTTGTAAAGGAGTTCAAAAGCAAAAATGTTTTAGAAAATGTTTGGTTATAAGGCCATAGGCTTGTTTATTTGTCGTGTGTAACGTACTTTGTGCATGCTGATGTTTGGGAATCTTAAACTGTGTTTTTGACAGGTTGAAAATTTTGGTAAATGTCCGTTTTTCAAGAGAGACTCTACTGAAATTTCGGCAGAAAGTCTCGTCCCTCTTTTCCTTTGTTTGGAAAAGAGGCTATATCGTTAGTAAGTGGGTTCGGTATCAGCATGATGTTGGAAATACCACCGGATTCGTCATGAATTTCGAGGAATTCGGGGTGAGTCCTGTCATTGCAATGGAATGAGCTACTTGGTGCTAAAAATGTAGGGTTTGAATATTTGGATGATTGTATTATTCTCCGTGAAAAGGAATATATAAGGATATGTCAACTAAACTTAGGAAATAAATCTCTTTGATTTCCATAAATTATTAACTCACGTAAACACTTCCCCTCACGTTGGTGCATACACATGGACAATATGCCAAATAAGGATGGCCACAGTTCGGTTCGGTTCACACCTAGAACTTAAACTAGATTCAAAACTATTCATTTGGCCCCGTTCAGTCTAGTTACTAGCTAACACTGACATTTAACCGAACGACCAAGGATAGGTCTTCGTCCAATTCGGTTCCCTCGGTTTTAGCTGAATTTAAGCACAATTATTTTTTTGAGGATTTTTTGAGATTCAAGCCAAACACTTCCATAGCTTTTGCTATGACGAGCCAAAAAAACCAATAGAGTTAAAGATAAACACAGATCTGCTCATCCAATATAGAAATAGAGATACAAATAATAAAAAAATTATTTTTTTATTTTTTGAATAGAAACGATTTGTATTCAAAGAAAAGTGTCAAAAACGAAGGTCAAAAGAAACACAACCAAAAGAAGCAAGGCCAGAGGAAAACCACAAAGCCAAGCAACCCAAAAACGAAACAACTAAAGCAAAGACCAAACCCTAGGAAACAACAGCCAGCAAGTTGCGCATAATTATAGGGTAGGGTATATTCCTAAAAGCGAGGGAAGTTGATGCCCAGAGAGCAGCCCAAAACTTCACTCTATCCCATAACTCGTCCACTCCCACTCCCTTATAGTTCTCGAAAATTCTTCGGTTACGTTCCAACCATAGGTTCCAAACCACTGCCTGCATCAGACTTCCCCATAGAATTTTAGCTTTTTTTCCTTTTCCCAAGGCATCAAAGTTGATGGAGAAAAGATCAAGGCAACCTTTCGGAATAACCCACACCAAATTAACTTCCTTCAGTAAAGTCTCCCACAGCTTAATAGAGAAAGTGCAGTGAAGGAGAAGGTGGTCCACACTCTCCCCCGCCTTATTACAGAGGGCACACCAATGAGGGCTAAGGCACATGTAAGGGCGTTGTCTTTGTAAAGTATCACCTGTATTTAGTCTTCCCAGCACCACTTGCCACACAAAAACCTTAACTTTCGGAGGAGTCTTGGCCTTCCAGATTTGGTTATAAGGAGAGAAAAGCTCACCTGCTCCAGCATTCTGAATATGTGAGTAAAAAGAGTGGCAAGAGAAAAGGCCGGAAGGGTCTAACTTCCATCTTCTCTTATCCAATCTAGAGTTGACCAGCCTCACCCCTTCCAGTAAGTCCATCAATCTAGCCACCTCCCCAAACTCTAATTCGTTGAGATTCCTCCTGAAACCAAAATCCCAGCTAAGGGGGAACCTATCCGATTCCACAAAGGAGGAAATATTGTGATTTTGCTTCCTGGACAAATTGAAAAGTCTCGGAAACACCTCTCTCAAAATCCCTCCCCGGCTTCAGTCGTCCTCCCAAAATCTAACCCGATCACCACCCCCCACCATGAAACCGCAGCCTTGAAGAAACCGATTATAGCCACTAGAAATGTCTCTCCAAGGACTACGACTAGACCCACAAGTCGCAGATTTAGCGTCCCACCCATTTGGTTCCACTCCGTAAATGCTTCTTATCACATTGTGCCATAGGGCATGAGGTTCATTGGGAAACCTCCACAACCACTTTGCCCTCAACGCCTCACTCCTAGCCTTCAAAGAACCCACCCCTAACCCTCCAGCAGATTTTGCTTTACTCACAACCTCCCAGCTCACAGCATGATTATTTTTCCCATCCAAACCTTCCCACAGGAAGTCCCTCATAAGCTTCTCAGTTCTTTTGGCTACTCCAATGGGAATTGAAAACGCAGATAAATTGAAAACGCAGAAGAAGAAATAGAAAAGAAAACAAAATAGAAAAACATATAAGCAAGTTATTGCCTCTTTATTATTATATCACTTGTTGTTGAGCTCAAAACCAACAGATAGAAAATGACAACACCTCGACACTTCATATCTTATATCATGTACATCAAAATCTAGAACCAAAGTTTGGATCTTCAAAACGAAGACAGAAAGAGTGAAACAAAAAACGAAAGAAAAACAGAGAAACAAAGGAATAAAGAAGGGGAAGAAAAGAGAGGAAATGAAGAAGAAGGGAGATAGGAAAGAAAAGAGAGAAAAAGAGAAGTGCGGCTCTAAGAAAGAGGTAAGCTAAGCTATTACATTTCTTTTGCCTCCGTTTTTCTCCCCAGTTTGACTCGATTTATCGGTTCTACAGTTCCGATGCACACCCCTAAGTCAATCCCATTTTTTTACCATTGTTTGAGTAAAATTTAAGCTTTCATTAATTCAAAGCGGACAAAACATATCCTGTGAAAGAAGAGGAATCACCCAACTCGATGCGTCCTCAACCCAAGAGATGAAATATGTACAATTTAGTGCATACTTTTCAATGGAATGAGCTACTTGGTGATTAGAACTGTAGGGTTTGAATATTTGGATGATTGTATTTTTCGCTTTATAAGGATTTACATAAGTGCTTTATAAGGAAACAGATACAATAAAAAAAAAAAGGAATATATGCTTATGATACGGGGATATGTCAACTAAACTAAATAGGAAATAAATCACCTAGTTAACTCACGTCAACACTCCTCCTTATTGGATATCTACATGTTTTACCACTTCACACATGTCATCCAAAATATTTAGCGAGCGATCATCGATCAATTTCATTTCACATATGTGGTTGATCCCTAGGTTGATGTCGAAGAGAATGTTACAACCACTTTTTATAGAAATAAAATAAGTTGACAGTTTAAAAAGTTGATAATAAATAAATAAATAAATGTGCAAAGATATATAAAGATGGAAATGAATGTTGCATACCTAGAAGGTTGTGGAGAGTAGAAGAAAGCCCCTGCAATAAACCTAAGAGTGCAATGCAGATTAAAAATCACAATATGTTGGCACAAAGTTTTAATTCGTCGATTAGATTATATATGAATAGTAAAAGAAAGAAAGAAAAAATTATATACACTTGTTTACCATTCTTTTGTTCTTCATTTGTTATGTTAGACTTGGAAACCCTCATTAAATATTTTGTGTTAAATATTTTACGCATCATGTCAATCTATTATTTTGTGCACAACCATGAATATGAAACCACAGGTCGAGCCTTTACCATAAGATGAACATGCCATGTTCACACAAGAGTATTACATGTGCGAAGTACAAAGCATGAATGTGCTTTGCTATATTTTATTTATTTTTATTTTTTTTAATATCACAACGTCATATTAAGATCTAAGTTCTTGTTTATGAGCCTACCAGAACAATTTGATTATTAAGATTTCAGTTCTTTCTACCTAATACATGCTGCGCATCTTGTAACGATTTGATTATGTAATAATATATCATCTTTTTCTACCCACACAAAAAATTTCTTGTTTATGAGCATACTAGAACAATTTTCTTTCACCAGATTTCTTTTTGCGCCAAACTATGTCATGATCAACTTCTTATTAAACAGATGCATTATTGCAAAAGTCTGAAAAAAAGACAAGAATATATATACAGAAAATGATTGCATTTGATTAAACCAAAGCGAGGGTTTCGAGATCTAGCAAACCTGAGAAACTGATATTTCTTCGGTTACCCAGTTCATTTTCTGGATTTTGAACATTTTCACTTTCATCAGGTATGTGTATACCTGTCAAGAAAAGTGGACAAGCTTAGTCAATAAAATTTATTTTTTTTAGTAAAACTGAAACTTTCATTAATTCAAAGAGAAGAAAACATATCATGTGATAGAAGAGGAATCACTCTTGGTGCCTCCTCAACCCAAGAGATGAAATTTGTACAATTTAGTACATACTTTGCAGTGGAATGAGCCATTTGTGCTAAGAACTGTAGGGTTTGAATATTTGGATGACTGTATTATTCTCCGTAAGAAGGAATATATAAGGATATGTCAACTAAACTAAATAGGAAATAAATCACCTAATTAAATTAGGAAATAAATCTCCTTGATTGCCATAAATTATTAACTCACGTAAACATTCCTCCTAAAGTTGGTGCATACACATGGCCAATATGCCCAATAAATGTGGCTATAGTTCGGTTTTGCTTCCCACCCATAACTGGAACCAGAATCGAAAATATTCATCTGATCCATTTCGGTCTAGTTTCTAGCTAACACTGACATTAAACCGAACGGCCTAGGACAGGTTTTGGTCTAGTTCGGTTCTCTCGGTTTTAACCAAATCTGAGCACAATTAATTTTTTGAGAATTTTTCGAGATTCAAGCCAAACACTTCCTTAGCCTTACTATGAGGAGCCAAAAAAACCAATAGAGTTACCGATAAACACAGATCTGCTCATCCAAGATAGAAATAGAAATACAGATAAATTGAAAACACAGAAGAAGAAATAGAAAAGAAAACAAAATAGGAAAACATAGAAGCAAGTTATTGCCTCTTTACTATTATATCTCTTGTTGTTGAGCTCAAAACCAGCAAAAAATGACAACACCTCGACACTTCATAGCTTATATCATGTACATCAAGATCTAGAACCAAAGTTTGGATCTTCAAAACGAAGACAGAAAGATAGAAACAAAAATCGAAGAAAAAAAAAGAAAAACGAAAGAAAAACAGAGAAACAAAGGAATAAAGAAGAGGAAGAAAAATAGAGGAAATAAAGAAGGGAGATAGGAAAGAAAGAGAGAAAAAGAGAGGTGCGGCTCTGACCTAAAGATAGAAAGAGGTAACCTAAGCTATTACATTTCTTTCTCCCCGGTTTGACTCGGTTTACCTGTTCTACGGTTCCAATGCACACCCCTAAGTCAATCCAATTTTTTTTTTTTTTTTTTGAGTAAAATTGAAGCTTTCATTAATTCAAAACGGACAAACATATCCTATGAAAGAAGAGGAATCATCCAACTCGGTGCGTCCTCAACCCAAGAGATGAAATATGTACAATTTAGTGCATACTTTTCAATGGAATGAGCTACTTGGTGATAAGAACTATAGAGTTTGAATATTTGGATGATGTATTTTTCTCTTTAAGGAGGAATATATAAAGATTTACATGTGTGGTTTATAAGGAAATAGATACACTAAATAAAAAGGAATAAATGCTAATAATACTGGGATATGTCAACTATACTACATAGGAAATAAATCACCTAGTTAACTCAAGTCAACACTCCTCAAGTTGGTGCATACACATCACCAATATGCCCAACTTTGTAATTGTGTTATGAAATACTCATTCAGAAACAGCTTTTGCTAACTACTCTTCTGATTTTACAAAAGGCATGCAAATACTCTTGTTCTTAATCTTCTCTTTGATGAAGAAGCTATCGGCCTCAACATGTTTTGTCCAATCATGTTGAACTGGATTATGAGCAATATCAATTGCCGAGTTATTATCAAAAGTAACTAGACATCGTAAGCTTTACGTACATACAAAGATCTTCGAAAATGGAAAAGTGTGCAATTTTCGGTGATTAAGTTGGTTCTTTGACGCTCATTTCATACTTTCAGTTTCAAATATCAGTTTTCTGATTGGTAGAAGACCTAGGGTTTGAATCTTGGTGAATCAAGACAATAAGTATTTATCTCAAACAAAAACAAAAAAGACAATAAGTCATTTTCGGCTATGGAGATAGAGATTGGGAAACTACAAAACCTACTGACCTAGGTGCTGACCTAGGTGACTTGGGGATGAAGAATATGATTAGTGTGAACAGTGGCAGAGGTAGAGTTTGGTATTTGGGGGGGCCACAAGCTTAAAACTATGAGATTTTTTGTGCAATCTATACTATACTTTTTATAGAGTCAAAGAGGTGAGAAGATGGTAGGGGTGGCCAGACCATCTCAGGCCTATGAACAGCTCCGCCCCTGAGTGTGAATATAGCTGTTTATGAACATATATATGCTTCCAAAATTGTGGCTTATATGTTAATGCTACTTTTACCACAATTCTACACCATGTGGACCATCCTAATAAGCTTTAACACTAGAGTTGTTGATGTGTCATGTCTTAAAACGGACATATTAATAGAATGGTCTAGATGTTGCAAAATGCGCGTAAACGCACAATCTCTTAATATAGCAACTCATAATCCATCATATTATAGGCTATGGGTAAATGTTTATGGATGAAAATTTCTTAGATCTGTGTTGGATGACCTTCCTATTTATTGCATTAATTTTGTTCTTTCTTTTTATCTACTCTTTTGTTTATTTATTTATTTTTGGTCAAATTCTTTCCATTTATTCTTGAAATGGGGAGGGAGGGAGGATGAAGAAGCGCACGAGGAAAAAAAACCGGGGGGAGGGGGGGAACTTTCAGGAGGAAGGAGGAGATTGGGGGTGATGAAGAGCAGAGGAGGAGTGAGGCAAGAAGATAAACGTTTGGCAATTTTATTTATATTAGTGTTACAATTGAAACTATGAAAATTGGGGAAGATAAAATGTTAGCAAAATATACATGGGATATAATGAACGTGATTGTAGCAAGAGAAAAGAGAATGTATTACTAACAGTCATAGATCCACTGTTGCCAGAATTTGAGCGGCGTCCCACTCAGGAATACCGAAGGGATATCTGCCAATACAAATATAGGGGATTCGCCCGTCGGACCTTTAGTAATGGCCAATTGTGGGCAGCGGTGAAGTAAGTGCCAGGCAATATCTATTATTAGAAAAACAAAACAAAACAAAAAACAGGAATTGTGAAAGTTAAAGCTTGAATTTTGGCAAATAAAAAAAGTTAAAGCTTGAATAATAAATAAATAAATAATGTGGGTTTGGGTTGGTTGAGAACTTTACCAAATTGTTTGGCATAGAAACAAAAGCAAACAAGTCCAGCGCCATAAGGGCCATTCTTTGGCATTAGGTCTTCGATCGGAGTGAGGGGATACAGATAATGAACGATATCCCATAAGTCATTCTTAGCAGCGAAGAGAATTGGCGTCAGACCGTGGGACTGTTCTACCTTGCCAAGTAGTAGTAGATTCCTGTTCTCTCCAACCATGCATTTAACCATTTTGAGACTTAATCTTGCAGCAAAATGAAGAGCTGTCCAACCAAAATATTGTATTTCCAAGTCTTTAGCTGTCATATCCTCATGTCCAACCAACTTTTCCACCATATGCTCATGTCCCAACTTGGTTGCAATGTGAAGAGCTGTCTCTCCTGTTGAAGATCTTGCTCTTATTGCATTGGGTTTTTCTCTAAGAATCTTTTTCGTTTCTTCCCAATCATCGATCTTAACAGCAGCAAAGAAAGGACGGAGCTCATTGTTCTCATCTGTCAAGTATATTTTATATATATATGTTTGGACATTAATTATTCGCATCTATTATATATCAAAATAACTCTAAACTAATATATGTTTGGCTGAATAAAAAATAATTTGGAAATTAGAGGTTTATATGTATTCAGATCAAGTCTTTGCAAGGAAGGAGCACATTAACATTTGAGTATTCTTTGTTCTTTTTTTAACAGTATACCTGGGTTGTTTGATGAGTTTGCAGACTCAACAGATCTCCGTTGTGTCTTGAACGTTTTGGCCAAAATATCCCAAGCATCATTGGCTGAAATGATCTCCTTAATAAAGAAAAACGCATCCGGCCCACAAGAAATTTGGATCGCATGTAACGCCGCGGCAGTCTTCTTCCTCCAAGCGAACTGATCAGCTTCTTCTGGTACAAGAGGTTCAGCTGTAGCCTCCACTACGTCCCAAAGGTCTTGAGCCAGCAAGTAATTTTTAACCAACGCACTCCAATGCTCATAGTTATCTATGCTAAGAACATCAACAACGATTGCACCCGCAGGAACCAGGCCTTTCACCATTCTTAGTCCCGCCCAGGCTTGCTATTTTTTTTTCTTTTAAATTTTGAAAAGGACATTTGCATATTTGGGGTTGAGCACATCTTACAGTACTGACATTTCTTTTGTTTCTTATCCTTGTCCTTTTCCATGTCTTAGCTGGCAAAACTTTTTTTATCTCGTAACCTGGGCAAAAGGTTGCTATGCGAAAAGGAATAGCCAACCAAGGCATAAGCGTGTGATAACTCACAAGTAGGGCTCGTCAATGGCCCGGCCCAAATTTAATGGACTTGGGCCGGATCGGGCCGGACTTTAAAGAGGAGAGAGAAAATATCGGGCCGGGTCGGGCTGGATTTTTTTAGAAAATTCAAAGCCCAAGCCCATCTCATGAGTCGAGCTTGAAAAAACCCATCGGGTCAGGCCGGGCTAAGCCCAATGGGCCGGGCCGAAATGGGCCTAAAAAATAGTAAGTGTAAAAAAAATTTATTTATTTTATAAGAATGGTATGAATAAATATGCAAATATTTGATGATGTGTTAAAGAAAAGTATGATTATATTTGGTGGTATGATTATGTTTGGTGATATGATATGTTGTTCGTTTTATTATATATATATAACTGTTGTATTAATAAATGACACAAATTAATGTGCTAATCATCCAATTATAAACTAGGAATGAGTAGAATTTAATAGAAACACAATTTTTCAAACAAGTAACACACACACACACACAAATGAAAGAGGGGGATTTGTCATTCAAGTGATGTAATCCTAATCATAAACCCTTATTTATACATAATTATATATGTATACGGGCCTAACGGGCCGGGCTTTTGTGGGCGGGCCGGGCCGGGCCGGGCTTTAATGGGCTTAATCGGGCCGGGCTTCAAACACCTAAGCCCAAGCCCAGCCCAAGCCCAAGCGGGCCGGGCCCTCTTAAAGCCCATAACGGGAGGCCCTCTTAAAGCCCATAACGGGCCGGACCGGGCTTTTTTACGATGGGCCGGGCGGGCCAAATCATGTAATCAGAGAGAGTCTGCCTATCTTAGTGGTACCCATATGTAATGCTTTTCTCCAGCTCATATTGTCTTGCTTTGGCCCTCCTGGACCATTGTGGACACGTATCCTCATCATCATATTCCTTTCCGACCTATTCGTACTCATCCTCCACAATCATGTTATGCAAAATTATATACGTTATCATGATTAAGTGGAGGTTGTCCTTGCACCACAGACGTACAGGGCCCCGATAAATAGCCCATCGAGCCTGTACTATTCCAAATGCTATTTCAAAATCCTTCCTATACGCTTCTTGTATTTGTGTAAAAAGCCACTTCTTTGAGTTATCATGAGAAGAAATGGTCTTCAAATTTATTTTGGGAAAATGGATAGAAATGTAAGTATCTTCACCAAAATCTTTGTTTTTTTTCAACTCAATATGTGAGTACTATTTATCTTTGTTTTAGTTAATAGATAATAAATTTTTTGGGCTAACATGTTTCTAGGTAGAAGAACCAAAGAATGCTACTAACCAAACTGTCATTAGGAGCTTAGATATGCAGAGAGTAAGGTATGCATAATAATCTCTAATTTTTATTATTTCATAATATTAGTAAGTGATTGTACATGTCTTGTTATTAAAGGGAATTGTAGGGTAATGGTAGAATAGGAAAGGGAAAGAACAAAAAAGAACAAAATTGATTAAAAAGTATTAAAAAGCAAAAGGAAGTGTAGGTGAAGAAAAGGAGAGTGGAAAAATCACCTCCTAAATTAAATTATTTATATTTTTGATCCTATTCAAATGTAGAGTAAATGATGTGCGTGCAGTGTGACATTAGTGTAAATATCCTTGGACAAGTGGTTGTACATCACCAGTAAGCCGAAGACAACACAGACAACATGTTCTTCCCCGTTTTGAGTGCCCCATTTTGATAGCCATATTCATGACGGTGTGGCTTTCCATGTGAAAATTGTCCAAACCCGGACTGACCCGCTAGTAACTTCATTTTTCCACCACCATTGCCCTTGTTTTCCTCATTTTTCTTCTCACCGCAATAGCCACCGTCGTTGCCGCTATTGCCGTCGTTACCATTGTGATCGTGGTTGTCGTAGGTGCCTTCAAGCATCTCAATTTGAACACCCATCTCAAGCTTCTCAGTTTGAACAAGCGTCTGAAGCTGCTTTGTTTGAACAAGCCTCCCAGTCTCAAGAACCAAATTCGTCTCGGCCTTTACAAGCTTCCCCACAAAGGAAAGTTAGGCTTAAGTCTCCAGCTAAGAGGAAAGCCTTCCTGGCAAAGTTTAAGCCATCAAGATATTGAAAATCTCTCCTCTGTTTTGATGTTTTGCTGTGTCTTGGTGGACACATGTGTTTTTGGGTAGAAACCTTCTGTTTTGTATTTTATTGTCTACTCTTTTTTTTTGGGTACAAACTATTTGGCATTGCCATGGATTAAACAGGTGCATATGAGGTCTTTTGTATTTTGTTTTGGCATTGCCATGGTTTAAACATGTGCTTAGAAAGTATTTTGAGTTATGTATATACAATATATGTACAAGACTGTGTACAATTTATGTACAAGTTATTAATCAATGGCAGTTGAAAAGCTCTTAAATGTTTGCAGAATTAGTGGTGCTTACAAAAGTGTCTAGTCTTAACCATTACAAAAGGGCTTTGAAACCATTACATTTGCAAAATGCTACAGCCATTACATAAGGCTCTCATCTCCCTAAATTGCCATTCAACTACGTGCATTACACAACCTTACCTAACTTTCAAACATACCACATTGCCTAACTTTCAAACATACCAATTGCCTAACTTACATTACCCAACATTGCCAAACCAAACCATAAACACAAAGGCCCAAGAAATAAATAGAGCAATCCACAACTTCTTCTCTCTTGCTCTTGCACGCACAATCTAATCTTCAACTTCTCTCTTTGTAGCAGCCAAGCCATCAGAGCTCTCTCACGGCGAGGCATTTCAATATCAACCCATACAAAAAACCCACAACTGTTTTTCCCCCTCCGCATTCAAACAACAATTCCCTCACATTCTCAAAAAAATTTGTCCAATTTTCGATAAACTAGAAAATCCAAAACCTACCTCTGACTTTGGACACACAAAGAACCTCCGAAGTGGGTTGGACTCTGTCCAAGAAGAGAGGAGATTGTTATTTGGGGTCCACTCCTTAAGTCTCCAGCTTAGATTAGGATTGTCAACACATGTGGGGTCCACTATGCCACGTAGGATGCTGACTAAGGTCAGCAATTGGCCACCGTGGATGATTTGACCATAATGCCCCTGCCACGTCAGCTATTTTGACGGTCTTTTAGATAGCGTTGACGGTGGGGGGTTAAGTGGAACACAAAACCACGGTCAAGGGGGTTAAGTGAGCCATTTTAACTTTGGGGGGGTTAAGTGAGATTTGACCGAAGTTTTAGGGGGTGCTACAGTAAATAAGCCTTTTATATACGTAGAGGTTTAGGCATTTGCACTTACACATGTGAAGTGATGTGCGTGTGTGGGTTGCGTCAGTGGTACGCGTAGATGAACGTTTTGGACATGGGAGAGAGTGAGAAACTTCCTTGTAAGTTGCAAGGTCTAAAATATCGATGATATCGGAAATATCGGTAGTCTAAAAACACAGAAATTTCTATGGAAATATCGGGATATTATCGATATCAATAAAAATTGAATAAAAACCACAGAAATTGTAAGAAGAACTTGGAAATTTTTATTGGAACTTTGGAGAATTTTTATTTAGTCAATTATCTATTAGTTTATCACAAAAAAATTAGAAGGAAATGCATTGCATCATAGATTTAACTTATTTAAGTTGTTTATACAACAAGCTGGCAAACACTGTGAGTGTAGAAAATATGTAGTAATTAATGAAAAAAGATTAAACAAACCATAATCATTTATATATAATAATTTACTACAATATTTTACACTTTATGCATTGCATGGTCAGATACATGAATGACTTAGTACCACATAGAGTTCCTATGAGGTTCAAAGATTCATTCTCATGTGAAAATTTGATTGTTGCAAAAAGAATTCAAAACAAAACAATATAAATATAAATATTTTACATAAGTGATATGGTGGTTAAGGTGTTAGAGGAGTAAAATGGGAGGGGTTCATCGATATTTTCCTTTACATCGATATTTTCGATATTTTAGCGATATTACACTGATATTTTGAAAAAATATTGCTGAAGTGTGAGCGAAATTATCGACATCGATATTTTTCGATATTATCGATATTTATACGATATATACATGGATATGTTCCGAAATATCCGTGATTTGAAAAACCCAAAATATCCTCGATATTTCATACTATAGTAAGTTGAAATTTTGGTGGACAGTGGGCTCTGACTGATTCAAAAGCTGCGAACGCGCTTTGTTAAAAAAAAAAACATTATATATATTTTTTTTATATAAAAATATTAGGGAAAGCCGGCACTTGGCTAGGGCGACTAGGGCCTGGGCCCGAGGCGCAGAAACAAATTAAAGTTAAGCCATATATAGTGTGTGGTAAGTTATAAGGGGTGTCTGTGTGGGTTATCTAAGAGCCATCCGATTAAATTGAACGGTTAGTTTTCAAAACAGGCTGCGTTATAGAACCGGGTTGAAATTACCCATACCAAAAGTTACAACCTGAAAGTGCAAAGCATGGTCTCTCATCATCATTGTTCCTTGTTAACCATCATCCCTCCCTCACAAGCCAACAATTCTTATTTTCTCTCTCTTTCTCTCCCTCTCTCTCTCGTCACCTCTGGGAAGCTTGTAGTCGCAGATCTGTTTAAAAGCAGAGGTTGAATTCTTTTCCCTGGAAGAGAAGCTTGCTCGTCATCTCTGCAAATTTGACGCGCATCACCTCCCTGTAACTTCTCTCTGGAAGAGAAGCTTGTAGTCGCAGATCTCTGGGTTGCTAGCTTCTCTTCCATTCTTGAAATTTCTTTTTATGTTTCATATCTCTAGGTTGCTAGCCTTTCACCCTTTTCAAACGA